TGATTCAAGTAGGAACTACAGAATTCAACCAGGATGAGATAGGAAATTGCAGGGTACCCTGGCCAGTAAGCTGGGACAAGAGCATCACCAGAAAACCTGGAAATAGCCCACATTACAAAAGTTTGAAAACACATGTCAAATATTATGCACTGATACCATGCAAACTTCTGAATCCTTTCAAAATTTAGCATACACACTGATGAAAGTGAAATATTAGCCAAGAATGGCCAAATATTTCAGTGGAACAATGAAGAAATTGCTAGATACTGGCTAATTAACTTCTGCTAAAAGTCACATCAAAAGCAGGCATGTGCAGCACATGACCAGGGGCCCAGACGTAACCTTTGGCAGCTAATGCTGAGGCCTCATAAGATTGTGAACTTTTAACACCATTATGTGATTGTTATGTGACTTTTAGTGATAGTTTTGAAGACTGGATTGCACCGTGCTTCAGCAAAGTCGGCAACAACAGACCGGCATGTAGGGGAGGGCCCAGTGTGCCGACAAATCCTCCTCCTGCACGCACCTCAGTCAGTGAGAAATGTATTTCAGGTGTTACAAGTAAAAATACAGACAACATTTATCGCAACCCAACAAAGTTATCTCAACCTCCCTGTAAGTGCATGAGAAGAGAAGAATTTCTTTTTTTTTTAAGCTGATATATAAGTTTTCTTGACTATCAAACTTGGGCTTGTTATTGTGTAAACATGACTCAAACCCAACATCACACACAACTGTTTAATCTGTCATACGCCCAGAGCAGTTTTCCTGAATAACCAGTTTCAAAGAGCCTTATGTCCTACTGCACATAGCAGTCCAGTTTCCCACTACACAGAATTCTCGGATATCCATGACAGTCTATACTCTAGGTTGAGCTGATTCACCAGGTAAGTAGAGTATTCAACAAGCATGAGATAGGAAAATGCAGGTCTCCTGACCATGAGCTGGGACAATAGTATTACCACGTAGTGTGCAAGGGTAGTCACATGTAAGAAGGTAGCAGATGTCAGCTCATGTGTGAGCTTTGTGATAACCTTCACCATTATTTGCTCTGTACTTCAGCGGTCTCTGAAGTGGAGGATTCAAAGGATATGGGGGAAATGTTACTGCCAATTTGCTAGATGTCCAAAATGCTGAGTTCCTGTTCTCTAAAACTGAGGAATGAATTCTGGGAAAAGGAGTTTAAGAGTAGGAACAATTTGTCAAGAGCAAGAAAGCCTCTGTCTGAGAGGGACAAAAAGGGGCCCAGAATGCGGGTTGCCAACCAACCTGCTTCTCAAGGGTGTTTATTGAGCAAAGCCCTGAGGGGAGCCAGGTTTAAGGTGGGACAGAACTATAGTCAATCATTAAGATTGCAAGTATAGTCACTAAGTGTTGTGATCTAATGGGAAATCTCAAGGTGGGTATGAGGTGGGATAAAACTATGGTGAACCAGTAAGGTTACAACAAGTATAGTCCCTTGAGTGATATTGATTAAATGCGGGTCACACTGGGATGCAAGTCACTTAGCAAGTGCAGCTGGATGGGACAAGAAAGGGGTGGGTTTTCTGGAAGGGGTGGGTTAAGGAGGTTTAGTAGTCCACCTGAAGGTGACTGATGCCTATTTAGAATGTCAATCACTGCTGTTCACCCTTACAGGAAGTGTATGAACAAGTAGTTCTTTTTCTTGTTTTTATTTTAAAGAGAAAAAAGATAAACAATGAATTGGAGTTTCAAAACAGGTTAGTAGGACAGTTCAATAGATGATATATTACATATTGCTGTCTTTGTTGGATACTCTGACTAGTCCTTTTTCTCAAAGTCTGACTTTCAGTGGCTATGCCTGCAGCCAGTTGTCTTCTGCATTGACCTCTCCAGGGCCCACCTATGTTAGCCATCTGCAATACAAATACAGGCTTCCAAGATGTTCAATGAGCTGAGGTTCCTCAAGTTATCTAAGAATTATTGATTGGCAAAGAACATCTCTTTTAGTGTTCATAGGCCTGAGCTTTCCATGTCAGCTATCATCACTTTTAGTGTTAATGCACATACTTGCCTCTCAGGGCAAGCAGCCACTGGTATGAATGAGGATCTCTTATGCTGGAGATAACAGCTGGAGCTGTTAATTGTCTATTGCACTGCATTGTTCTTTGCTGCTGCGCTTCTGCACTGTTGATGGATCCACCTTCTGGCAGCTTTCATACCAGTAACCTTTAGAGCACCAGCTCCATCTACAAAGGGCCCTTCTGGGAGCAGTGAAATGCAGTGTTACCAGCTCTTAATGTACTCTTCCATATGTACTGAGCTCATAGTCCCACAAAACAGAAGAGGAGGTTAGGGGAGTTCTTACTCAAAATAGCAATAAGAAAAACGGCTCCTCGATTTCCTAGAGAGATCCTGAGTGGATGCCACATGGCTGCTCATCCACAGCTAATTGTGCATAAGCCAAGCATAGGAATTGTTCAATTATTCAGTGGCCATCTATCACACATGGCTCTGTAGAATTAAAATGACCAATAGTAACTCAGGCTTCTGAGGGGTTGCAACATGTAGGGTTTAAAGGAAACATGCTGTCCTGTCTACCAGAAGGATGTTGCCTGGCTTATGATTGTAATGTATAACAGGAGGTTTGATTTCACTGGAATATCTTAGTGCATTTATAATCTGCATTACAACAGACCTGGCTTCTTTCTTTGCTTAATATTAAGTTATGCTTCAGGCTACCTGTTGTTTGTACTTCAAATCTTCATATGTGCAGGAAAAAGAAATTCTACTCTTGTGCCAGGGCTACCCACAGGAAGACTTGAACATAGCCCTGTGTCCTAGCAGAGCAGCTCCATCTGAGGACAGTGCAAGGCTTAATCCTAAACAGGCAAAATGTTCTGACTCCAGAGAGAGGAGAAAAAAGGTGTCCATGACTAAGAAGTGCTACACGGTAATGTTATAGACAAACAGATGTGAGTACAGCTACATGGGCCAAATTTTAAAGGCCTAGGATTATAAGATTTAAAAACAAAAAAGTAAAAAGAGCTGAAATAATGTCATGTGAGGTTTGTGGCACTGAATAAAAGTCTGAGATAAAATGCTGGCTTTATTCCCAGAAATTCCTTTCTAATTCAACTCTCCAGAATATTTTTTCCCTTTTATTAAAAATACTTTTCTAAGATTACAAAAGGAATAAACATTAATTCTAAGAATCATCAGACCCTTAATAATTACTCAGATTTTCATCTTTCAGAAATAATGACCAGAACATTTATACTTACCCTTTGTACCATAAATCTCATATGACCTTTTAACATTATTAATGATTACACATTTCCTTCACCTTTATTACTTTAAAAGTACATAAGTCTAACTTCTACTTCAGATATTACACCTTTCATTAGTTCAAGTATCAAACTATCAAAGCGCCATAGTTTTCCAACACTTTCTAAATTCTTGCAGTCTTAGTTTTACCAACTATTCTGAAAATATAGTAATTAGGATTATTCTATGTTTTTTATCCATTGGGTAATACTTGACCAAATTCATATATTATATAAAATATTTGGCTGCTTTTGTTGTCTTACATATTGATAGATTTTTAGGCAGGTGCTTGTGCAGCTGAGCTACACCCTAGCCCCATATTGATAGTTTTCTAAAAGCTATACAGCAGGTGGATGTTATAATTAAGATATAATCTTAATTCCCATTTGGAAAACTATTTCCACAATCATTTATTTTAATTAAGCTGCCTGCTGTATGACTGTTTTGAATACACATTTGTCACTGTGTCACTTTTTTCAGGAATGGATATTATGAACGCAACATAAAAAAAGACTTAGAAAATATTGTGCCTATGAGAAGTTAAAAAGGCCAAGATTTCTAAATTTTTAACTTTTGATTTTGGGGGCATAGATTCATTTATTTATTTTTCATCTTTGTGTGTGATTGTGAGTATGGTGAATGATACAATGATGTGATCAAAGCAGGGATTCATTATGACTAAAGAAAGGAAAACAACAAAGCCACATCAAAATAGGCATCTGACTTTTCTATTCTAAATAATATGTAGCACTTTTTCAGTCTCACAGTAATATACAATGATGTGTGAAAGTGGAACAGAAAAAAAATTACTCAAAAAAATTACTCACTAAGTAGTAATTAACAACTGTCTTTCATATGATATGAAATACTGAACTTTTTCCATTTCTCCTCTCATTAGTGGAACACTGATCTCAGCCCTCCCACTTGGAATTGGTTAAACATTAAGCATCCAGTACAGTTGTGAAAGAGTAAACAGACAGTGCCACTGACAAATACCAGAAGCTGTGCCATTGGTTAAGTATTATAAGCAGTTCCGTGGCTAAAAGTGGGCACAGGGTTGGTTGCAGGGATTTTGGTTATAAATAGCCTGTGGAAGGAAAAAAAAAACGAAAAAAGAGAACAGAAACAAAAACAAAAAAAAACCAGAATCAGCTCAGCAAGAGGAGTAACAAGCAATGGATTCCAAACTGCAGCGTGTGAAACTAAGTGACGGCCACTTCATTCATGCCCTGGGATATGGCACCTATAAGCCTCAGGAGGTAAGAGAGGCAAGGTTGGGGTAGAAAAATTAAAAGGAATTAACCTCAGAGGAGAGAGCTGACTTGGCAGGTCAGGTCTGTCAGCATCTACATGGTTTTGGGAGATTTCCCAGGTTCTCATTTCCCAAAAGAGCGAGAATGTGAAAATCTGCAGTCAACACAACTGCCTATTAGATTCCTTTCTTGATGTTTTGAAAACTGTGTTTCTTCCCATTGAGGCAAGATACAGAAAAATCGTTTACCAAATGTTAATGGAGATGAGAAACATAAAATAAATAATGGGGAGAGCTGCTGTTCTGTTTGGGCTGGTGTTCAATATCTCAAAGTAAACATTGGACTAAGTAGACTTTCCAATGCACTCACTCAAGTGTGGAAAATTAACCTGAAAGTACATTTGACATGATGACCAGAAAATTAGCATCTAAGAACAATACAAGTGAATTTCAGGTTCATCGTTTTGTAGATTGGACCTAAAACAAAAAGATATAGATTGCGATCTAAAATAAAATTAGCAAAGTAGATAGTTTGCCGAACAAAAGGGAACTTATATTCCAATATCATCCTCAGACCACTTCACTGTAAGACAAGGGACTAGCTCGTTGAATATGGGATTCATAATTTTCCTTTTAATAAGACATAAGGGGGGCTGGGGATTTAGCTCAGCGGCAAAAGCGCCTGCCTGGCAAGTGCAAGGTCGTGAGTTTGGTTCGCGGTACCGGAGAAAAACCAAAAAAAAAAAAAAGACATAAGGAAATAAACAAGGAGCAATTCTGCAGCATGAGGTAGAACTTGATTACTTTTAGGGCAAAAGACATGAAGTACAGGAGTAGATCAAGGTTACACACAAAACTGGAAGCCTGGCAAATTTCGGAGTGGCCTTCCATCTGGGGAATTCATGGCTGGCATCAGGACACATGGTAGGGCCTAGTCTCTCCTTTATTGTAATTTTATTGATCAGATGAAAGATTTTGAAATTCTTAAGTCAAAGGCATGTGTTTGATTTACATTTTTACCTTATAAGAAATGAATTTTCTTTCTTACTGGTATGTGTTTGTAATATATACTAATTAAATTAATCTTGGACAATTGATAGATGCAGTATATATATCACCAGTTATGCCTTTGTACTTTTGATCCATAACCAAAATTAGTAGACAAGGCAATAATATGAAATTTCACTGTAATCATAAACACCCTGAAAAGAAGTGTCCAAGTTTGAAAAGTGGACAAGTGTATCAATAATGCCTTTCCTGGTGAAGAAAACTTTTTATTCATAAGTCCATATTCTTCTAACATACACTTTTTAAAGCCACTCATTTCTTACCTATAGCAAGACTTGCTTATGTGACATAATACCCATTCTTACCTCATTCAAGGGCTGAGGATGAGTTAAAATGAGACACTCACTATTTGATCAAATCTCTTTTAACAATCTGGGCCCTGTCTGTCATCTAAAAACTTTAATTTCTCACCATTCAAAACAAGATAAGCTGATGGCACTCTATACAATGCTGCCAGCAACAGTAGAGTTTCTATATCCTGTTTTTCATTGGAATAAGGATCATGACATGTCCTCGCACGGGGGAGATATGCAACCCACCTTTGCAAAAATCTTAGGAAAGGGCTGGGGATTTAGCTCAGCGGCAAAAGCGCCTGCCTGGCAAGCGCAAAGTCGTGAGTTCGGTTCCTGTTACCGGAGAAAAACCAAAACCAAAAAAAAAAAAAAAATCTTAGGAAATGCTTCCAGAGCTTTCCTGGGAGACAGCATTTTTGATACATGGTCAAAGATCAACGTATAAGGTTATTCACTGTGTTAAGTGTATCTCAACGAGCACACTCAGATATGTGCACAGCATTTGTTCTGTACCTTGCCCCATGCATGCTTCTTCCATGTGAATTTGACTTGGTGACCTCACTATATAATGTTTGTGACTATAGCTGTGTGCTGAGTCCTGCAAAGTGAGTTAGTCCTCGGCCCACTTACTGAATTTGAAGTGCTCTTTGGGTTTTTCAGATACCACTGACTTATTAGCATTGCCAAGTCTGAGATGGTTCTTGAGGTGCCAAAATCTGGGAAAAGCTCAGGCAAAACTGGTTTGGATTCATTCCTCCCAAATCAGGATTAAATGAAGACATAGAAAAAGGTGACCTGAAGAACAATGCTTTTCCTAGTGACCTTATAACAATTTCCCTTTGCATATACGCTTTTGTCTATGGAGATGATTGAGATTCCAAGTTCAGGGGACTAGTTCCTTGTCACACAGTTCAGTAGTCTGAGGATGATGACCTTGGAATAGCATCACCATTCCAGTCTAGTGACTATCGAGTGTGCACGCTATGAATCTTCAATTCTACATCTGGCTTTGGCTAGGTTCCTAACAGTGAAACTCTGGAAGCTACCAAATTGGCCATAGATGCTGGATTTCGCCATATTGATACTGCGTATGTTTACCAAGTAGAAGAGGAGGTGGGACAGGCCATTAAGAGCAAGATTGCAGAAGGCCGTGTGAGGAGAGAAGACATATTCCTCACTTCAAAGGTATTTTGTGTGTACTGTGCAGGCTGCTAATTAATAAAATATATGAGGAAGAAAACATATATTCTTGGGTGAGAATTTGGTGAAATATGCTGTCAGGTACAGGTTTTATTCACATAGAATTCACAAATATTGTCTACTTTCAAAAACAGAGAAAGATTAGGAACTTATCATTTCAACACATTCACTGCATTGAAGTCCCTTCATAGTGAGCTCTAATACAAAGCAGTGTGATTAACATGGCTGTGGATTTGGCAGAAGTATGGCCAAGTTATGGTTTTTCTTTTATCCTTTGTGACTTTTTAAATTTCATAGTATTCTGATATCATTGTTTTCTTTTATCAATATCACAGAATAATGTAAAAGAGTTGCTTGGATATTAAGCAATATACACCTAAAGTACCTTGATTTGAACTCAGCACATATTAAATGCTCAAGATATGTTTCCCTTCAGTTATGTAAATAATAGGGGGGTAATTCTTCTCCAGTGAATTAAGTGCACAAGATAATTGAAGTAAACATAGCTCTCGAATCTTAGGAACTAAAATTCAGAGAATCGATAGTATTATTATTTGATGAAATTTTATGTTTTGAGTAATTTCCTTCCATTGTTCAATAAGTAAATTGACTAACAAAAACCAAACATGACTGATTTTATATGAAAAGGCAAGATGAGAAGAAAGACAAGACTCAACAGAGGGTTATCATCAATTTCCATTCAGTACAAAAATATTTTAATATTAGATGAATTTGGGTAATTACTTAATCCAGCATCACTTCCATATTTTAACCTCTACAGCTTTGGTGCACTTTCCATAGACCAGAACTCGTCCAACATGGCTTGAAAACTTCACTGAAAAAACTTGGTTTGGATTATGTTGACCTTTATATCATTCATTCCCCAGTGTCTATGAAGGTGAGTGACCTGGATCATCAAAACTGTCTAACTGCATCTTTTGGCACTGATATCATTCCTGTGAATGGCAGAATGAATCTTCTGTAATAAATTTATTGTTTTTTTTTGTTTTTTGGGTTTTTTCTTTGTCTTTTTTTGAGACAGGATCTCCCTACACAGCTCAGGCTGAACTTGAGCTCACTTTGTAGCCCAGGCTGGCCTCGAACTCGCAAGGATCCTCCTGCCTCAGCCTCCCAAGTACTGTGATTACAGGCATGAGCCACCACGCCCGGCTGTAATAAATTTAGATAAATACAATTTCCATGAGTTATAGAAACTACTCAGTGTAACTTATTTAAATAAATTGCTTGGATTAGAAAAATAAGAACCCCACACCATGGCTGGATTTACAGTCTAAAATTCATCTTCAGAGGTGTCTCCCTTTACCCAGCCCTTCACTGCATTCATTGCACTTTGCTGTATCTTCTGCTGACCTACTTCACAGGGGGCAAATGAAGGCAGCTCAATCATCTTAACAGTTGATATTTTCTTTGTATTTTCCATCATCAAAATCAAAATTCATTAGGACATTAATTAATCATGCTTGGGACACACCTTGCCTTTGTACCCACATGTATTAATGTTGGTAAAGGACAGTGATCATTTTGCCACAGTCAAGACTGTAATCTACACTCCTGTAGAGGAGGGCAAGTGACGCCTGACTTTACAAGTGAAAGATATGAATTTCCTAAAGGAAAGTATAGGCCAAGACAAAGTAATAGAAGTCAATCAGTGGGTTTTTTTCCCCAATCTAAAACTTGCAGAAATGTTATTTATAGTGCATATAATTAATGTAAGAGACTAGAGTAACCAAAACACCTGAAGATGTCTTCACCACTCTGCATGCAAACCACTTTGTAAACAAAAGGAAGTGAATAGTGTGCTTTACGTACTTCATGGTCGTTAAGTACCCTATACATAGACATATGTGAAGGCATTTCTGTGGATGAGAAGCGTGTACTTGATGAAACTGCTGTAACGATGTTTCTGTTTCAGCCAGGTGAAGAGCTTTTTCCAACAGATGAACAGGGGAAAACATTATTTGACACAGGGGATATCTGTGCAACATGGGAGGTGAGCATGTGTAGGATCTTCCACAGAGTTATTTGTGACAGACAGTCAAGTCATTATTCTACCTGGAAGAATAGTTTATGCACCTTTGTTCTACAAATTTGTTGTGTTTAAAAGGAATGATTTAGGGGCTGGGGATTTAGCTCAGCGGCACAGCACCTGCCTGGCAAGCACAAGGTTGTGAGTTCAATTCCCAGTACCGGAGCAAAACCAAAAAAAAAAAAAAAAAATGATGTAAAGTTCTTAGAGATCTGGCCAAGATACCCAACTGTCTGTAAGAGGGGTACAGCAAAAGGATGAAATAAGAGACAGAGATAATTTAATAATGTGAAATGGGGCTGGGAGCTGGGAGGTCAATGCCTCAAGATTGGCAAAGACAATGACTCTTCAGCTCGCCACTATTTTACTAGCCAGTGTGTGGGGAGGAGTAGCGAGTGGTTCTGGAACTGTAGCGGTAATTGCTGTGAGAAGCACAAAGCATTCTTGCAAAGTGAGACAAGAGCCAAATAGGAAACTGCAGTTTCCCCAGGTGAAACTCTACTGCCACTGCATTGCTTTAAATATCCTTGACCTCAGCAGGTCTTTTCTTGCCCTGTGAGCACCACAGCCTCACTAGCTGTAGGGCTTCAGCTGTGATCAGAAGAAAGTGGGAAATTTCTTCATTCCAATATGCTTCAAAGGGCACAGCTGGACTTGATGTATAATTTGTGGTCCCCTCCATAAAGCAATGCATTATTAGAATGTAATGGGGAGAAAAGGAGCAAGGTGGGGGACAGTGGGACTCAGTGTCTCTTACTTTCTTCTGTAGTAATGTCTCAGACTCCCCAAAGAGGACATAGATTCCTTTTCTGGATACCAATGCCTTTTTCTCTTATTGTTATTCCAGCTTTTTCTTATTAATAATCAATGTCAGGTAGCTTCATTGCTATTTCTTAAAAATGCTCCTTATGATACTCATACAGTTGTACACATCACCCTTCACAAGACCTTCCTCCCCAGGCCATGGAGAAGTGTAAGGATGCAGGACTGGCCAAGTCCATTGGGGTGTCCAACTTCAACCGCAGGCAGCTGGAGAAGATCCTGAACAAGCCAGGCCTCAAGTACAAGCCTGTCTGCAACCAGGTGAGCACTCTTAGCCTTCTCTTTATCTCTTACTCATTAATGATTTTTGTCCTACCACTCTGTATCTATTTGTCCCATTCCCTCCCCCAGCTCATTTTACTTTTATGGAAAAGAAGATTCTGTTAGCCGTGTCTCTGTCACAGAGAGCGTGGAGGATCCTGTATCGTATGCCTTCTTGGTGAAGTCTTAGTGAGTACAGAGGGAAAGCCCGTTAGTGTCTGATTTGTTTAATAATCTGAAGATGTAGTAGTCACTTAGGAAGGTGGCAGGTGTAGGAAAAATCAGAGGGAAGATGCACTGCTCCCCGAGCTATGAAGCGTGGCCAGAGAATGGATATGTGAAGATCCTGTGCAGCCCAGAGCATAAGAGAGAAGCCCAAGAAAATAAGGAATGGGCATTAAACGAGGGGAGAATAAAATTAAGAAATGATCAGTGGTAAGAGTTTGTGTGGATGTCTGAGTCCTTTGCTTGAGTCCTTTGTCTTAGGTCATATCAGGGTGCTAGATCAGAGGCATACCTGTTATCAAAGTACACTGGAGACTATTAAACATCATCCAAATAGACACATCAAGTTTCCCGTATATACTGCTGTTAGTGGCGGATGACATTCACACCTGGAAACCTGGAACACAGCACACAGCCTGCAGTGCCCCCAACATCTTCATCAGTCTCCCCTTTGCTTTCTATAATTAAATCTACTGCTTCAACAGATTTGTTCTTTGGTTGGTTCTGTCTGCTGACTTTTTTGTTTTTGCAAATTGTACTCATGTTATAAATTTTTTGACTAGAAACTATACTTCTTAGTGTTTATTAACATATGATGAATGAGACAATACTCTGACTCGCAAATATAAAAAATAAAACATGAATGTATGTTGAATGTTGACTTAGCCCAAATTATCCTATCAAAAATATTTCTAGCATTCACAATACTTAAGAGCATGGTACTAAATATTCATGTCATTCAACCCATATGCAAAATTAATGTCTTAGTATTAACGATGTTAATTTTAATCACTTGGTTAAGTACTTTAAGCCAGATCCTTCTTTGTGAACATATATATTCCTCCATTACATTTACTAGTAGACGGAGTCCTATAGTAGAGACTGGTCAAAAGCCAGTTTTCATTTCAAGGTAAATTTTCATTCAGTTGTTGAGTATCCAACTGTGAGTTTTGAGAGAACCACAAGTTTTATTGGAATTTGTCAATATTCACTTTCATTCTAACTACGTTTATGATCAGATATTTCAGAGTGAAAACAAATTTACTCATCATGTCAGAATAAAGTTATTTCTGTGATAGAGCATAAACATTAACAATATCCATTTTACTAACAAAGTTGTGGGGCAGAGTTAAAATCATAATCTTCAGCAGTAAGGGAAAAGGTTTTATTTCTCTCTTGCTGTGGGCCTATTTCTGTGGACTAAAATTTTTCTTTACACTGTATGTTGGAACTAATTTTTACTCATTATTGCTTTTCAAAAAGAATCTTCCTAACTGTCACTAGTAGAATGCCGGCCAGACCAATTTCTTTCCTTCAGACTTGTGCTCTTGAGTCTTTGACACATTTATTGATTTCTGATGTACAGATTTGAAGGCAAATTTGATGATCTAATTTCAAAGATATTTCTGCTTCTTTCAGAGCTAGACTTTGTCATGTCTATTGATAATGGAAAAATAATTAGTATTGAAGATCTGGTTCACAGAGCTGGTTGACTACAGGAAAGTACTTTTTATTTTTGGACCCCATCTTATGGACAGAGATATTATAAACACTTTTTAGGAAAAAATTCTTTGTGCTGGTTTTTGTTTACAATTCAAATATAATGTTACATGCTTTTCTTAATT